TGATGATCACCTCTCAGTGGTGGAAAAAGGATGAAAACTTCTTGAGAACTGCATTTTGGTTTTCGTCGAACGGCTTTGGTAGCATCATGGGCAGCGCAATTGCCTATGGACTGGCCAAGCACGCGGATTCATATTCTATTGCTCCATGGAAGGTTCTGTTCATTATAGTTGGTTTAATGACTATTTGTGTTGGAATCGCCTTTTACTTCCATATTCCAAACACGCCGGCCGAAGCATGGTTCTTGACTGAGGAGGAAAAACTGCTGGTCGTTGAGAGAATCAGAACTAATCAACAAGGTTTTGGTAATAAGCACTTCAAGAAAGCTCAGTTTATAGAAGCCTTGAAAGACTACAGGACATGGTTATTCTTCTTTTTTGCCTTGGCCTCGGACATTCCAAATGGCTCGCTGACAAACTTTGGCTCCATCCTAATGAAAGAAGACTTCGGATACTCTACCCTGGAATCATTGAAGATGGGAATGATTCCAGGTTTGGTCGAGTTTGTGGGTTGTATCGCATTTTCCGCATGTGTTCGCTTTGTTAAACATAGAATGCTGGTGGCACTCCTTGTGATAATCTTCGGTATTGTTTGCTCATGTATGCTCGCCTTCGCAAAACACAATAAGGAGGCCAGATTGGCTGGTTATTTTTTGCTGAACCTCCAGCCCATTGGTTACTTCTGTCTTCTGTCTTCGTTTGCTGCGAACACCGCCGGACATACGAAGAAAGTCACTGTTGATGCAATTTACCTTATCGGCTATTGTGTTGGTAATTTGATAGGCCCACAGACTTTCATCGCGTCTCAAGCGCCATCATACAGTGGGGGGAAGATTGCCATGGTTGTCGGTTACTCTGTTTCATTTGTGCTGATGAGTTTCATTTACGCATCCTATTATTTTGACAACAAAAGAAGAGACAAGGCTGAATTGGAGAGAGGTGGCCCGGTTCAATTGCCAGAGAATGCTGAGTTCGCAGACCTGACCGATTTGGAAAACCCAAACTTCAGATACTCTCTGTGATCAAGGACATCCAGGATTTCCTCCGTAT